GGTCGGATTTGCTCCTTAGGGTTCTCGTNNGGTTCTCGTCTTGGGCAAAAGGTTCCTGCCGGATTCACTCCTTAGGGTTTTCGTGTTGGGCAACAGATTCTCACCTTCTCACCGGATTCACTCCTCAGGGTTCTCGCCTTGGGCAGAAGATTCTCGTCGGATTTGCTCCGGTTCTCGTCTTGGGCAAAAGGTTCCTGCTGGATTCACTCCTTAGGGCTTTCGTCTTGGGCAGAAGGTTCCTGCTGGATTCACTCCTCAGGGTTTTCGTCTTTGAATCGAGGGTTTCCATATGATAAGACAAAAGCCGATGAAGACACCAGAAAACCCTTAATCTTTAGAAGTTCTTGTAAGCATCTGCAGAGCAACCCTTCAAGACACCCAACCGAAACAAAAATTGGACCTAATGCACCAAGCCAAAGGTATCTTTACGGCTTAGGGCTTATAGGGCTTAGGTTTAAGGGTATGGGGCAGGGCAAGTGCAGGAACAGACCCGGGCAGGGGCACGGCAGCCTGATCGTTACGGTGCGTTTAGATGTTTATGTTCAGGGTCGACTGACTGAGCCAGTGCTTGGAATGCAAGGCTTCGTACAGCATACGTACGTATGCTAAATAAGATGCCTATTAAGTTGTGCAGAGTTTCCGCAAGGGATCCCTCACGCTGAAGACGTCATCGGGGTCGCAAGGTCCATGCTCGATTTCTCCTTGTCTTGACAGGAACGACCCGTGCCAGGGGTCTCAGCTGTCGGTTAGGCCGAAAGGATTATGCTGCCTTGCACGTGTCCGCTCTCTATCTGCCGCAGGTTGTTGGTATCGCATCTTTGTGTCGCTCTAGACTCTAAACTAGGTAAATTTAAACTTCGAACGGCCTCAAGCCAGTCCGCAGTCTGCAAACTTCCAAATCTCAGAATCGCTGTAGCAAGCGAGCGATGAACGGGGGGGGCGGCGCAGAACAAGTAACAACACACACACACACACATCGTGCTTTCATCAATGCTGCTTCACAAGGCTCAAGCCGCGAGCAAAACGGTCCTCAAGCCTTTCCGGCCCAAACGAAAATGAACGAGCGAAGCCACTCGTGCCAAGATTCCATCCCATGTAACCACGTCGGGCGGCGCGAGTTTCTAGGCAACAGCGAATCGGAAGCCGCATGAAGAACATGCTTCGTGTTCGTAAGTTTGACTGACTTCAGGGTCCCGGATTGCCGAGAAGGCCTGGGTCGCAGCAAGGCTTCATAATATAACCGAGACTACAGGAATCAATGTAGCTCTCCAATCCTGCCAGCTTGGACTAAGCTAGACGTCTCCTCAACAATAGGGCTCCAGGCTGCTATGCTTCCGAGCAATGATACAGGAGGTATTGTATCAGCGTATCTGTATGTGCGGTGCCCACTGTCCACACGAAGCACAGTGATGTCCCCCCCCCCCCCGCCCCGCAAACGGATGTGCAATGGAGCCTCACCCAAGATCTGGCTTGATAATTTCTGAAACCACGGCAATACGTCAAGACAAGGAGCGCAGCCGCTGTTGAAGCACAACCCGGGGCTTAAGCTCAGGCGCTTGCCCCCAAATGCCAAAGGGTAGCTACGTTCTTGTTCACAGCCTTCAGAGGCTTTATATATATATATATATATATATATATAGTTTACGCCTCAGACAACGCCAACAGCCCCTACATATACATATGTGCTTGGCTTTGCGCCCAGCAGCATCTGCGAAGCATGCAAGGAATTCCAAAGTGAAGCGGCCAAACGCCATGCTCGAGAGTGACATGCTGGGCCAACTGCGCACAGCAAGGTCGACAGGTCACTAAACCCCGACATCGTTTGCTCTCTCGACCCCGCAACTGATGGACTGTCACTGTTGTTTCTTGTGATCGGTGGACAGATCAGACCAGGAGTTTAGGCCATCTGTGTGCTTGCGGCGTCTGTCGAAACTTGCGGCCAAGCAGCGAAGTCTTTCACCTTGCCCTTGGGAAGTGCAAGCCTCAGTCGGCTGAATTTGCTCTACGAGTCCAGACCCCGTGCAGTTGCTTGAGTGCTGAAGTTCGCATTCTTGCTTTTGCTTTGCTCCCCTCGCCTGTGATGTGAGGGTAAGTTGGTGCAGTCTTGTGGTGACTTTTCTACCGGCCCTTCTCTGGGCCGGTTACCTTGTTGCTGCTTCTTCAACCAAAAGGTTGCAGTTGTTGCATCCTCTCAAACCTTCACAGTGAACTCCTTTCAGCCTGGTTACCTGGTTGCACTCGAAAGCTTTTTCAAATTGTGCGTGTGTGTGTGTGTGTGTGTGTGCGTGCGTGCATGCGTTTTGCAAGCGCGCAACTCCGGAGGTACCGTGCAGCCATTTCGCAATGCAACCTTCCTTTGAGTAGCGGTACAGTAGCAATCTCGTCGCAACGACACCAACAGCGAGGACATGCCGCAAATTTGAAGCCAGTACCAAGTCGTGAGCGGCAACTACGCCGTAACTACGCACCCTGGCCACGTTCGGCCGTTTGTGAAACAACAAGCCGTACAAGCCAAGTCGAGGCATGTCGATTCGCTCCCTTCCCTCAGAGCTCGAGGCCCAGACCCTCCATACTGCCCGTTGAAGTCACCACCCATTCGTGGGCCATTGCCCAAATTCACAAGTCTCCGGCCTGGGCTTGACCATCCTCAGTGCTTCACAGAGCGCTTTGACCTCTCGCTCTTAACCGCGATGCTTGTGCAGCTTAGATTCCATCTTGGTCCCCCTGGTATGGGAATCTCCGTGGCCGGCGCCGACGTCGACCATTGGGGCCAGGAGAGCCGTAGGCGGCATCAGGCCCGTAGCCTCGGATTGAGTCCCAGGAAGAGTCTGCTCACATGAGCAGCAAGCCGAAGGAAGCTCCTTATACTGGATCCGATGACTGCGCAACCTCGCCTGAAGGTGATATCGGCAGGGCTTCTCGTCGAGTTTTGCAGAAAGAACGAAGCATCCAGATTCAGATTCGACGCGCTTGAAGAGCTTTGATTGTACTGTACTGTTTGCTGCCTGGTTCCTCCACCGTAGCGGTCATAGCCACTGCCACGACCCCTGCCGGCATAGCCGCCATAGCCTCTGCCTAGTCATTTTGCTCCACTAAGAGCAGAAACCACTCCAAGACTGCGATCAACCTCCGGTTCCGATCATTTGTTCCACGGGTCTCTCTGCTCGCAAGTACCGAAGATTTACAGCTGTGGAAAGCATGTTGTGTATCTCGCGAATACGGCGTGCTGCTGAAGGCTCTGCATACGCATCTCCATATATAGCACCACACAAGCCCAACCCCCCGCGAGTCTTCTCATCGAGAAGCAGGCGATACGTATGCTGACGATGCCTCAACTGCTAGTCCAAGCACATGCTATAGACGCCCCAAGCCAGAGGCGCCATGATGCCTTGACATGAGGAATAAGTCTCCAAGGCCAAATTCAATTTCACCACCTGCCTGCCAGGCCAGCTGGCCCGTCTGGCCCGAAGGGCCCCCGACCGGCACCCTTGCCTGAGAGGCGCAGAGTGGGTTGTCGTGTGCTGCTTTAGGACCTCATCTTTGTCCGGCTGTGTGGACTGAAGGATACTGAAGGGGTGTCGGGTCACTAGCTCGTGAGTCTAGGGAGTCTAGGTCTTGGGCTGCGATTGGAGGAAAAAGGATTCGAAGATCAGATTCCCTACAAAGCCCCCCAAGCTTGCCTGCGGTGATTGAAACTTCGAAACATAAAGCTCCTGCCCATGGCCTTGCCCTGCCATTGAATTCATCGCGTTCCCGAGCATGTCAACCTCTTCCTGCATCGCCTCTCAGGAATGGAGGATCATGGATCAGAGCGATTCAGAGCGCGGAAGGGTGTAGAACACGTTACATGCGCAGCTTCCGGCCAGGAGGCCCTACGTCACCGCGTGATGAGCGGAGCCTCGTCGAGGGATTTGCCCGACTTTTTCGCGAGCTCCATCGCCAGAGCTCTTGCCTCAAACAGCGAGGGGAAGAGAGGAACTCAAGGAGTGGCTTCGCGGGTATTAGTATTGAAATTGTGTTAGGGACACATCAATCTCAGGCAGAATCGATACGGACTGCGGCACCCTTACCCACCTTCCATCCCACAGAGATGGTCCAAAAGACAAATTCGTGCCTTCACTTGATCATCTCCAATAATTTGTTGCGTGGTGCGGGGGTCCATATCTCTCAAAAGACAAAACCGCACTCAAACCCAGAACCCGACACAGCTGGCGGACGAGATGGATGCACGAAGACACTCTACTTCACTCACGACAGCATTGATTGTCTTCTGGTTCGTGCCACTTGTAAACAGGAGATTCTCTCGGCTTGTCTGAGAAGCTCGGCCTGGAGTTCATCCCGGAGCTCAGGTGAAATCACGCGCACCTGGTGCGGCAGCTGGGTGCAGAATACCGCCGTGAGTGGCCCAGGGAACCAGACCAAGGCTTGTCGACACGCAGTTGTGGCGCCTTGGTTGGCGGCCTGGGTGGCGTCAGCTCCTCGAAGCTCGTCACGGACCTGGGCTTCTTCGGCGGCATCTTGGCTCCAAAAAAGGATTTTTCAAGACACTGTTTCAACTCCGGATCACGTCTTTCAACCTAAGCCTATCGTGAAGGAAACTGTGCCGGATGAGGGCGCCTAACGTGCAGCAAGGCACAAGAGTCTGCTCAGCAAGCTACCAGGCATGGGCCGCTTGCGCGCAGGGAAAAAGCTGGCATTGGGTTGTACGAGCCCGCGCATGTGCAAGCTTCTGCATATGTTGGTGGCATGGGAGGCTCTAGCATCTTCGGGTGCATGGAAACCCTTTGAGCGGGAAGGCTAGCACTGGAACATGCGATGCAACCGCTTGAAGTCAATGGCGTCTAATCTAAGCCGTGCACCGAATGCTGTGCCGTCGTGCCCCCAAACACGCAACACGCGCTCGAGCCGGACTTCGGAACTTGAGGCCTCTCCGTCACAAAATGCTGTGTTTCCGACGACCGGACCGCCGGACCCCCTGCCCCAGCGCAAGGCTTGGATTCCTAGGCATCGCGAAGTCCAAGACATCAGCCGGCAAGGGCGAACCTTCCCAGAGAGCACTAGAACTGGGCGGACAAGTCGAAGTGCCGGGGCTGAGAGGCTGAGGAGAGGAGCTGGGAGCAGCTACGAGGGGGGCCGAGCACCAAAGCTACGTCGTTCAGCCCAACGAAATTCGTTCGTCAAAACGGCGCAGAACTTAAGACTCTCGAGGCGTCCAGCACAAGTCCCGTCTTTGCTAGCTCTCCAAACTTTTCCCTGCAGCGAGGACCTGCCAGTTTGAAGAGGGGCTCGATCGGCCTTCCGTCAGTGGGCTTTCAGCGTAGGCTCGGCGAGGGATTTCCTGGGACCTCGTTGTACTGCTGGAGAGGGCCAGTAGTCAGAAAGTACTTCGCAGGTGCTTCTTCTTAACCCTTGTCAAAACTCGGCTGATGGTGAAGTCGAGTGATGTCTCCAATCCGTTCAGCAATTCAACGAAACAAACCTACGTCGCGGCTATGCTCTGCGACGGTGACCCCGGAATGTTCAACAAGCTATGTGCCGCATGCCAATCGCAAGCTTCCTATCGGCTAGCAACAGGTACTGGATGCTTGGATAGGCTCTCCCTGGCATCTCTTGACTATGCCTCAGCATGGCCACAGCCAGCATGCGGAGGGCGTTGTACTGGACCTGACGATGCAGAACGGAGGATTGGACTCCAAAATGCGCATTTGTTATACAATAACCAACTGTGCATTTAAGGACTGCCGAACCCCCGGGACAATTCACCTCCTTATATAAATAAAGCGTGAAGAAAGCAAACCAAAGCCTAGCATTCTGACCCACGATCTCCTCTGGATAAGTCCGGCATGATTCGTTCTCGGCTATTAGTGGCTTCTCTAAGTTGTGTAGTTTCTCCGTTTACCAAGTTTGTTCGTTTGCCCGTCATTATCATCATAACAGGCAAAGATTACAATATGTACCCGATACGATCCGGTACTGCTGTGGTGCTCCTGTGTTGTTCATCTTTTATCAGCATTATTCCGTGCATGCATGCCTCCTTACAGACTGCACATAGCATGAAATTACATAAAAACAAAGCAATACAATCAAGCAGCATGGTCTGAATTTGATTGTAGTTACAACTTACATCATCAATCTTACAGGTTGAGGGAACGCGAGCCAACCCTGTGTTGAAACCGATTTACCATAATTTTGTCACCCACTTGCCACGCCATCGACAGCACTGCGGGGGGTCTTGACAAAGTAATGAAAGTGATGCACTGAACTGATGGCACGGCTTGCTCATATTCAATGATTACACTGATTACACAGACTTAAAGATTGCATGAGGCCCCTGCCCAGGCCATGTATCCCATCTGCAGCAACGCCATCGCCATGACTGCACCGACTCCAACCTCAAACGCCGATTACAGGAGCCTGTGTTGCTGGGGCTTCGGTATACTGGCATTTGTGGCGTAGAGGAGCTCTTAACCCCGTCCTCTATGCAACGATGCTCTGTGTGGGCATCCTACGCTCTGTTTCGGAAGCCGTTTCTCACCCTATACGCCCAAGCCTCCAAGCCATTCCAACCCATACGGGTAATACGGGTGCCGTGCATCGTGAGTATGCTCTTCCAAAGCTCAAAACACAGATTTTCGCCTCCCCCCTTTTGCTGAGGTCCCCAACGACCTGCAGCAACACCGCGGCAGGGATGGGCACTGGCCCACTTTGGGCATCGGCGGTGCCTGCTAAGCGGCCGGCCACCTCAGGAGCGTTGATTTGGATTTGGGTAAAGGTGTGTCGGCGCTAGCTGCTGGGCTACCATGACGCTTTCGGAGAAAATGGCCCGGCATGCCGAAACCTTAAAACCTCTCAGCCTTTGATGCCCAAGGCTTTCAAGTTCAACCCCCGAAGAGCTCCTGTGGCTGTGGCATAGTCTTTGCACTTGCGCACGCAAGCCTCGAATGCCCAAGGCTTCGGTCTTCATGCTCTTGCAGCGGTGGGGTGTGGAAAATGTGCAGTCTCGCAGCTCGCATGCATAGCTTATGCAACAAATCCCAGAACGAAAGCACATCATAGGATCGCGGGCATACCATGCCTCTGCACGCGCGACAGCCACAAGCATCAACAGGGAAACGCCAGCACACCACTTGCATCGCTCTTTGTATCAATGCAATATGCAGTCGAGGACCCCGCCGTTCCATATGGCTCGAAAGCTCGTCGCTTCACTCCAAGACGTGCCATCACCTCCAGAAGCAAAAAGCTCCAGTCTCTCGAACAGTCTTGGGCGTCGAAGCACGAAAGGCAACTGAAGTGGACACGGTCGCTCGAACCGTGCTCGTGGACCAATTCCCCGTGCGGCCTGAACGTGCATGTAGTTATAGAAACGATTCCACTTTCACCTGACCTGTGGAGCTTCCTCGGCCCAACAGGCGGGCATGCTGTCCTCACGAGCAGTGAACAGACGATCTGTCATCTTGTCGTTCCAAACTCAGAAGCCAGTGCGAGGCCGTGACAGCAGTACTATTTCACAGAAAACGGCACCTGCGGGCCCGTCAGGCCTTCAGCAGGTCTACCCAGTCTCAGATGCTTATACTGCAGCTATAACTTCGGGCCTTAACCGAAGCAATAGGAGCAGTCCTAGGAAGAACTACGTACCACCCGGTTAAAGCCCCACAGCAGTCGATGTGATTAAGGTCTCGTCTCCCGCGCCTTCATCGTGCAAACGCCGACCAAGCCAATCTCGGCGACGCTCACACGACATCACGCTTCATAACACTTCACATTCTGTCGTGAAGCTCGGAAAGGCGAGCCACCGAGAGTATGGGAAAAAACAATGCCTATAGGTCTAGGCAGAACATCTCTGAAGACAGTAACTTTTTGGGAACACTCTTGGAGTGACCCGCCGTCGGTGGTGCCGTAACAGTCAGATCCCGCCCAAACCACACGAATACATATCCCACAAGGAATCCATACCTTTCGCTACCTCTTCTGTGCAGAAGCTGTGAGAACTGCCAAAACACTTCTGATGTCCAGTCCGCTGGGCCCCATGCATAAAGCCTCGGCATAGAGATGGCTCGGGCTGAGTTCAACGGACTGTGCTGGAAGCATCAAAGAGCTTGACTTCACTGGCCCAGATCTTTCTGTCTGCTACACCATGATGAAGTCTGTGTTCGCAGAAAGTCTGTGCTTGCGCTTTGGATTCGGGTCACGGAACTCACTAACGAGGAACGGAGGTATCTCAAGTTCAAGCGTGTCGAACAACACCTCAGCCCCGAGCAAGACCACGACAGCGCAAGGCACGATGACCATGGAGGTATCCTCTTTGGGGGGCTCCTTGCATCGTCAATGGCATCCATGCTCCTACAACCGAACTTCCAGACCTTTCCCGACGGCTTTCGAAACCTAGGCTTGGCATCGAAGAAGGACCGGCCTTCGTCAAGAAGAGCCTCGGAAGAGCGCAGGAACCCGGACTTGTAAGTCCCGGCACTCTTCGTCAGCGATCCCTGAAGCATGTTGAAAATGCCAAGAACATCTCGCGGCGTAAGCACCGCACACCACCCGGGAGATCTCATCCGCCAGGCACAGGGCACCTCAAGGCGGGCAGATTCTTAGATACTGGATGCAGTCCTGCTACAAGGCACCAGCATTGGGAAGTGCAGGGAAGAGCACTAGTACTCTTCTGCCGGCAATCATGATGAAGCTCACCTCGAACCTCTGCAAACCTGGACATCGTAACCTGCAGACCTGACCTCGACTGCACATGTTGAGACTTACACTGACACCTGCACATGCTTCCCGGCTGCCTCAAACGACGCAGAAGAAAACTATTGCAGCTCGAATGGACGACACAGAGCCAATTCTTGAGACGACGTCTGGCGATGATGCAGTGTTGGTCACACCAAGTCGAACAGAAAAATGCCTCCAAAGCCAACCCTGAAGGCTTTCCTCGCACTGCGGGATAGGAGCCAAAGCAAATGACCAAGACCAGCGAAGCCTCGACAGTGATTTTTTCGCTGCCGGCTCGGGCTTGAGGGCATCCAGCTTCGCGATTTCCGGCCTAGCCTGCTGAGCCTGCTCGTCCGAATTTCAGGTCCAAGCCCCTTTGCCATACTTGCTCTATCAGCTTCCAAATGTCTCCGTCTTGCAGACCCTACCCGTGCGATCACTGGTCATCTAAAGTTGGCCCAGGCACCAGGGTGTGCCACCTGGGCGACACCTGGCAGGTATCATCACAGCAGTTGCGTAGCTTCAAGTTCCAACTTGCACGAGGAACTCCGGTCCGAGCGAAAGCTTGATGCGAAAGCCGACAGCCTGGCTGCTGCCCATCAACAACGGCACCTCGCGGGGTTTCTTCTTGGAAGGAAGGTCTCACTCCCAAACCGATCGGGGTCCCCCAAAAACTCCGAAGAGATGCTCTCTTCAAGGAGCTGCATTATAAGGTCATAAGGCCTGCCAAGACGCACAGGTGGTCACGGCCAGGAAGCACATAATCAGCTCAGCGACGTAGAGGCTGAACCTTGCTGAACCCTCAAACCCAACCATCTCTGCACACGAAGCACTGAACAACCGTTGGTATGCGCCAGCACCCTGGAATCACTGGAAGGTTTCGGCAAGCGCAGGTCGCAAGCAACTTTCTCGCTCAATGCACCCGTGGCTGCTTTCCCTGGATTCTTTTTTTCCCTCTCGCATGGCAGAGAACTATGCTCACAGGCGAGGTTTAGGGTTTAGGGTTTAGGGATGCTGGGTATGATGTCAAGATGTCGAGTGCAATGAGGTTGGGACATTGCGGCATTATGGCGGACCCATTCTCTGCTACTAAAGCTGAACCCCGAGCTCCCCTCCAGACTCAACCGCTGAATCAAGACACTCACAGCTTGAATCAAAATCTGATCCGGGCCACGGGTTCGACGGCAGAACCCCAAGCACCTGGATGACCAAGCAACAGATTGCGTTACGTTCTCTAGGTTCCAGTGACGCTTGAGCTGTCAACGCACGAGCCGGTGAGACTCCAAACCGGTCAACCCACATCTCGACTCCAACTCAGACTTGAGGCTTGAGTACAATCTGCTCTAAACAGCCCAGGTTGAAAAGGCCGAGCTGGTTGAGTCTGCTCTAGATGCTATCGGAACTCAATCACCGGAGTCTGCTGTGTGGGGATGCGTTTTATGTCTAACTTGTTAAACGTCAAGGATAACGATTCTAGACTAAACACCAACTTGCTATGTGCCCCACACTGCCCTATACGCTCCAAGCCTGGTCCTCAACCCTGCAGCACCGAAGCTTAAAGACTTCGTCCTTGCAGACTCTTGTTCTGCTTGCTGTGCTGCCCAAGCACCCACTGGTCCACCAACAAGTACCCGGTCAGCGAGGAAAGCGTAAACGCCAAAGCAGCCTCTTTGCAGGAAGGACACATGAACCCCACGCGCACTCGGGTACTCATGTGCGGCATGTCCTGCATCAACAACCAGATTCCTGCTTCAGTGGCATCTGCTTCGCAGGGCTCCAACTCCAACCCAAGGCGTTTCATGCAGTCCAAAGAAAAATGAAAATGTATGGCTTGGTTTTCGGGAGCACATCCATTTGCAAGGAAAGAGCGGCTTGGCAAACGACGGTCTCCAAGCTGATAGCCCTACCCCCATGGAGCCTCCCACGGGGAGTAGATATCGACCTCCAGCGGGAGGCTTTGGGTCGTGACACAGGACCCGATGCTGGCTCCATCGGGCTACAAAGGACAAGGGAACAGTTTTTGCCGACGCCGACGCTTTCACGGCTCTTTTTTGGAGGCCCTGAAGGCTTCGAGGCAAGTCTTCCCCCGGCACCTGCGAGATTGAAAACTGGGCCCACCCAAGCGGTCTATCTTCGACACTCTCACCGTGTTGCTAGTGTTTAAGCTCCCTGGACACAAACCCGAAACGAGCAGTCTTCTGCATAGGATTTCAGGTCGGGCGATGATATTAATATGGCTTTGGGGAGAAAAGTCCACCTCTTTGCTACCGGGCAGTACTTCAGAGACATGCACTTGGTGCATTGTGGAACGTTGCTTGAGTGGATGCTTGCCGCGACAGGACGTGAGCCGTATAGTCTAGTCACTCTAGTCCGCCCGATTCACGATGCCCTGAACATTCCCTTCCCCGGCTGCCCGACCCAATCTCAGCTTTGCTGCACAGGTTGGCTTCATGCTCAATCCGCGGCGGAGACTGAGGCGTCCGCCGAGAAGAGATCTAACGGCCGCCTGCCAGGCGAGATATTCTAGGATATTCCGAGGTCCAGCAAGCTAGCATCAACGGCCGAACAATTCATCCATCAAATGCGGCAAACAGCCACCGAAGCATGGCTTCACGATCAACCTTGGAGATGGGGCGCGAGTAGTGGAGTGTTTATGGCCGCATTTCGGGGCCACAACCATATCACTTGAAGATGAGAACACTACGAGTGCTATTTGTGTGTGCATTTGTGCCAGATCTCAGAGAGTTCAACTTAAACCCATTGCCCCATCTCTGGCCTGCCCTGCAAAAGGGCCGCCGTCACACAGATCAGTCCAAGCCTGAGATGAGTCCCGAGTGCTGTCTCCCTTATCCGAAAGAAGCACATTTTATGACCTGCAATAGCCAGAGGCCGAGCTTTTGCCGATACTTTACTTGCATGCTGATCGGAGCTACAAACAAAAGCACAACTGGTGGAAGATGGGACTGTGTATTTTCGGGGCTTCAGCGCCTCTGGCGAGTTTCAAAGCGTTTAGTAATCCTGTGGAAGGAGCGAGGCACCAAGAGAAACAAAGGGCCACACCAACACTGTCAAATTTTAAATCTCACTCGCACTTGGAACATCTACGCGATTGAAACACCTTCTTCTGCATTGAGCTATACTTGCACAAATATCAGGAGGCGGGTATCCAGCTTATCGTATTGTCATCATGAGGCCACACAGTCTAGTATTATACTTTAGCTCTTCACGCTCGGACAAGTCTCGCGATAAACGGCTCCATCTCTCTACCTGCACGCAGGACGCTGCTCCGATTCCGGGAGTGCGTTTCAGTACTCGTTCTGACAGCATCCCTAGTCATGAATGCCTGTATCGACGTATGAGGGTATGTGTGTATGCATCTATGCCTGTATCCATGCGTGTAAAGGATTATGCCTGTGTATACACACATGCATGCATACATACAGACGCACACGCACGCGTATCTACGCACACACGCAACCCACACACACACACACACATTACATATATATATATAT